TAGGCACAATTATTTATCCCAAAATTAATCAGGTCTCTGCATAGTCCTAGAATATCATGTCGCAAGTCTCATTGAAATGTGATGATTAGTACTTGGGATGATCAGGTGAAAAGCTGAAAATTAACTAATTATGCTAATAAGGTAATTAATATGCACACATATTTACCCAAAAACTAATCAGGGGTCTGCACAGGTCTCAAGTAACTATGTACCAAGTTTCATTGAAACGTGATCATTACTACTCGAAATATCAAAAGCTAAAAATTAATTAAAAACTATCAGGTCTGTGCAGTGTCATATGACATCTATGTACCAAGTTTTATTGAAATGTTATAATTAGTACTTGAGATATCAGTGGAAAAGCAGAAAATTGATTAATCATTATGTAAATTAGATAATTAATATTGCAGATTTTTACCCAAAACTAATCAAATCTGCGCATTAGTTCAGAGCAAGTTTCATTGAAATCCAATGAGTGGTTCTTCAGATATCAGTGGAACAGTCTTGGAACAGCTAAAAATCAGCTAATTATCATGCAAATTAGGTAATTAATATTCATAGATTTTTACCAAAACCTAATCAACTCTGCGCATTATCCCAGAGCATCTATGTACCAAGTTTCACCAAAATTTGATAAGTGGTTCTTGAGATAACGGTGGAACAAAAAAAGTAACATACATACATACATACATACATACATACATACATACATACATACATACAGACAGACATACAGACATACAGACAGGGTAACTGCAAAGACTCCCTTTTGTGCTTCGCACACGGGAGTCAATAAAACTACTGATATATTGCACAATCCAAGGAAATGTGATCGTTTGTTTTAATGTAGCCATCTAGCTTAACAAATTTGTTAAAAATAACTGGTGTGCTGAAATATGTCAACAAATAACTACCTAAATGTTGCACTATTTCTACAGAACGTCTGTATCAGGTTTGATCTAGATTATTTCATGCCAAGATACAGCTGAAAATATGCACAGATGTGTCAAATTTCATTTGAATTTGATTATTAGTTCTAGAGGTAATGCTGAAACAAGTGACAGATGAAGCTTGTATTACAAATATATTAGAAGGACAAACAGGAAGACAGAGTGGATGGAGCTACTATTACAGATATATTGGGCAAGACAAACGGGAAGACAGAGTGGATGGAGCTAATATTACAGATATACTGGGCAAGACAAATTTACAAAAAATAGCAAAAATTGTTTGTTTTCTAAAAATTAACCTCTAATTAGATATATCTTTCAAATTTGTGTCTGAGCATGGTTTCTCAGAAATGTCAAACCACTATTTTGAGTCTTCTTTGTAATATTAATTATAAAGCTTAATTCCAACAGTTTTATTCATTCTTGGCAATGTTGACGCTGACAATGCAGACACCTCCCAGTATAAACTTCTGGATAAAAAAAGTTTATATAACAAAATCATGGCACAAGTTTGTCCTGTCTTTACTCCAACCGTTATCACCTGCAATCAATTAGAAGATAGACTGTTGATACATGCATGGAATTCATTGGCAATTTGTTCATAATTTGTTATTCAAATTGAATGAGTTTTGTGTAACAACCTTCTAATTGTGGAGTGTTGTATACTTAAATAAACCTGCACATACAAATTTTTTACTCGCATGCATATAAACACCATTATATTAGAGAAGTCATTTTGAATCAAATCATGAACATGCATCCATAATTCTCTTGAATGATGAGTAATGTTTATATCAAATAATAAATCAGTCCAGGCATGCCCATGAAATAGTTGATGACATGTTGAAAATGACTGCTCAAAGGTCAATGAACTGAAAAACAAATCAACATGCACATATACAACTTCAAGTCTCGAGTGTGTAACAAAATCTGCTTAGATAGGTGTGAAAAATGATGTTGGATGGACAAATTGGCCAAAATATAAGTCCTCATTTTGGATGTTTGATGAAAGACTAGGAAGTGAATAAGCAACAAACATACATGTCACAATTGTATCTATCATGAATACTCAGGCTATATGCTACAGATTCATAGAACATGAATAAGCTGATGTAGACCACTGATATAGAATGGGAATCACAATTCAACTATGTCACAGAATTATAATTTTATCAAAAACACTAAAATAATACAAGTTTCAAGACCACTGATCATAAATGAAGTTGTATTTGAAGTAGCCATGTATTACTTGACATGCATGTAAAGATTTGACATGCCATGTATTACTTGACATGCATGTAAAGATTTGACATGCCATAGTTATCTCCGAAGACTAACATGATATGTACACTGCTTACCTTGTATCGTAGATAGTGTGTAAAAACAAATGAAGTGACAACCATGACTGGATATGATAAAAACCAAATAAGGCAAATCTAAAAAATAAAAATAATTCAATCAAAATTAGATTCTACTTCACAGGTTGTAACAGGTTGTTTTTGACATGTCAAAAAAAAAACATATTTGACTAGAAATTACAAACATAAAATCTTACAAACGCAATAACTACATGTGAAGAACATGCTACAAATTACACTAATGCTAAATATTGTGTTTTGATCCCATATGTAAACTCATCTTTGGTGAAAAAAATGATACAAATCATCCATGTTATGATGCATCAATGTTATAAAGCCTGATGTTCATAATGTTGTTACCGGTACATTGTACTTGAAATGTATTCACACTGTGGTCATTTTGCGATAGCAATCAAAACACAATATTTAAAGTATTGACAAATATCTCTCAAAATATTTGACATAATAGTCCTAAGTTTTTATTAAAATTTCAGAATTACCTCAGAATTGATAATTTTTATTTACTACTTTCTGTCTTCACTTACCTTGGCAAAGTTTTTATAGAATTCTCTACGAAGGGCACTTCTTTCAATGGATACAGTGTTATAAATATTTCCAGCAAATATAGCAGCTAAGAGTAGTCCAATGATAATATGCAGGACACCTGCTGTGTTTTCATATGCATTGTATACCTTGTGTTCACTGACTTGAAATAGCTCCCATAATAGTAATATACCCTGTTGGCATGAACATACAGTGATTACAATTGTAACAAAGGTACATGCATTAATATCGGAGATGGCTTTTGAAAATGGTACAGACACATTTAAATGGCAAATGTGCATGATACTTGCATCACTTTCTGATCATAGTCCACATGCATGGAAGCTCCTGAGATCTCATGAGATTTTCATTGCATGTCAATCAAAAGATTATCAAAGTTATACACACATAACGCATGTAAAATACACATGTTCAGTTATCATGTGAAGCTGATCAAAAACTTGAACTACTGTAAAATCTGTATTAGAAGCCACATCCCTAATAGAAGTCGCACCCATTATTTTTGCATAATTGAGAATCAAAAATTCATCATTTCTCATATGTGTAGATGCTCTAATAGAAGCCACATCCCCTCTGTTGCATTCTACCATTTTAGTAGAAGTCGCGTGATGTCACTATCCAAGTTTTATAATTTCCTGTGTCTACAACTTCATAAGGAACATTCACTAGCACAAATGCGACAAAATATTTTGTATCTCTTTTCTTTATTTTTGCTGGCAAGTCGCTTCATAACATTGGAAGCAAAGACTTAAATGCCATGAAAAATGCGTTGTTTAATATAAAAACGTTTAGGGTGTTCACAGACACCATAGGTCTTTACATATCCATTAATTATGAAATAATTTGTATTCATTTGCTTAAAAAACCACAGCACTATGGCATGTGATCAGAATTAACATAAATTGTACACACATAAACACAATTGTTTTTATTGATTTAATATAAACAAGCAGCCTGTCGGCTGAGGTAGCTCCCCTGTTAGCAAGACACATTTCAATTAAAGAACTGAAGATATCATTAGAAAATGAACAATATGTATAGTATGTATAGCAATCGGACTTTCTGATTTCAACAAGAATTCAAAAATATCACTTTTAACCAAAAATGACATAAATATTCACCAAAATTAGAGAACTAAAGATATCATTACAAAATGAACAAATCTGAGAGAGGTCCACATGTAGTACCTATTTATGTAATATCAAAGCAATTGGACTTGCGGTTTTTAACAAGAAGTCAAAAATATCACTTTTTACTAAAAATGACAAAAATATTCACCAAATATAGAGAATTGAAGATATCATCATGAAATAAACAAATCTAAGAGAGGTCTACCCTAGGTACATACACACCAAGTATCAGAGCATTCAGGCTTGTAGTTTTCAAGAAGAAGTCGAAAAAGTAAAACATTGACACGGACGACGGACAATCACTCGTATGATAAGCTCTGCTCGACAAAGTCGACAGCAGAGCTAAAAATATAAATCCACTTTCAGCAATCCATCTTTTTTTTGGACTGAAAGAATATCCATATGATAAATATATAATCCCACAACAGTATTTTCAAAGCAAGAAGTTTGAACTTTGGATCCAGATTTGACATGTATTGAATCAATTAGAATATAGATTGAAATAATAACAGTACATACCTGATATAAAGATAGTACAATGGAAATAGGCACTACTGGTCTGGACTTCCACACATCATCATAAAATATATGTACTTTACCACTTCCAAGAGTCCAGCCAAAAGATAAACTTAACAATAAATACAACATCTGAAAATAGGTACCTATAACAAATACTGTAAGAACAATTAATTATAGTAAATCTCTCTTAGAAGTTCAGTTTTGATATGATGGCGATTAGTCTGAGCAGAAAGGAACAATTCTATATACCGATACAAAAAGTCATTGTCAAGGACATACTCTTTGTTCAGTTTTTTAGTGAATGTGTTTTAATATCAATTAAAGACAATGAAAAGTATAGATAGATTATAATTAAATAATATAGGGCTGCCTGTCCAGATTTTGTGCAGTCAAAGTGAAAACTCATATTATATAACATGGTATACTTCGCACATAAGCCAATTGGCCATTTTGAATCAAATAGCAGATTTAAACAATTTTAATAACGGCATTAGTAATGCCATGTTTGAATGAAATGGGTCATGCTATGCCTGAAAAACAGTTGATGACAGGTTGATTTTTGAGGGCAGCAGGACAAAACTCGCCAGTCAGTCAACATACATATGCATATTATGACTTGTCCTTGTAACAATTTTTAACCCAAATATTCCTGACATGTCCGAGAAATGGTGATGTACATGAAATCTAAACATAAGTCCTCCTTTCTGGCTAATAACATATCCCTGTGAGACTACTAGTGCTGATCATTTTTATACAAGATTCAGTGTTCCACCAAACAGGTTGATGTTGTATGCTAGACATTCAGACTGACCTGACAAAATGTTTGTAATTATACGAAATGTATTGTTTACAGAAATATAATTTGTAACATCTTAGTATCCGTAGATACACAATCTAAGCATCTATGATGGGGTAATAAGCAACAGCATCTCTGATAGGGTAATAAGCAACAGCATCTCTGATAGTGTAATATGCAACAGCATCTCTGATGGGGTAATATGCAACAGCATCTCTGATTGGGCAATGAGCAACAGCATCTCTGATTGGGCAATGAGCAACAGCATCTGTGATAGGGTAATAACCAACAGCATCTCTGATATGGCAATGAGCAACAGCATCTCTGATTGGGGCAATGAGCAACAGCATCTCTGATTGGGGCAATGAGCAACAGCATCTCTGATTGGGGCAATGAGCAATACGTCACAAATGAATTGTCATAAAATCATCTTCAGTAACATAACAGCCAGTGAATTCATCAACCATTGCCAATGCATGTAATACCTACACTGTGATAAAGTCTGTAATGTTGGAGATCCTACGCCATCTTTAGAATATCCATATAAATGTAAAAACATACAAATTATTTCAACCACTTCCAGCGCCATGGCAGTTGATAACATTTTCAAAACCTGTAAAAAAAATGTAATATTGTACATGTACAACCATGACAGAATTGAAACATAGTGTAACTATCATAAAATTGTCCGTGATAAAGGATAACAATGTTGGTTGTATAATTTATAAGTACATTTTCACAAAATGCTGAAACAATATATCAATTCTCAGGTCACAGAATAACAGCAATAAACAAAAATAACATAAAATTGCTGAAAGGGGAATTAAACAAAGGTCTTCTATTTCTGTTATCTAACAGTAGGTTAAACCAATAGGAATATCTTGTAAAATATAAAAGTGATCGAGACACACCAGAATCATCTCCCAACATCACAATAATTATTAGAGGCATTGCAAAGCGGGCCACTCATACTGTAAAATAGTAAAGTCTTTCTGGGTGTTTTGTATGGAATGAGTTGAATGTGAGATATAGGAAAAAAGGTATATTCACTGGATTTTATTTTCACTGAATCATCCATTCAGCGAAAATAAATTCAGAGCGAAAATAAATTATTTTACAGTACATGGGTATTTTTAAGGTTATGGTAAGGTTATTTAAAAGCAATGCAAAGCAAGCCACTCACCAGATACATGGGTCCTCTTTTAGATATGGTAAGGTATATTTCAGAAGCAAAGATACATAACAATACAAAATATAAAATAACAAATATTTGATAAAATTCTAATAGTCCTAAAATAAAAAGAAAAAAAAAACATTGTCTTATTGAACAAGTCATCTGAAGATGACACAGCCCCCACTTGTCAGATGTGATTATAGTTGGCTATGAATTATAAAGTTTGAATATATATGTATAAAATCGGGTAGGAAGATTAAGTTGAAAATCAAAATTATGTTACTCAAAGTTAACAGCTAGGACATCTCTATTAAATTTGGTAAAATTTGCATAAATTTCAAGAAAAATTCACAATCAATTGAATATGGAAATTCAATTGAGTCAATATTAAATAGCAAATACATGAACTATTAGTTCACAAGATATTACCAAAAATTCAAAATTAATTAAATATTCAAATTAGCTCATTAATTAAGTTGAAAGTCAATATTGCATAGCACACATCTTATATTGACAGATCAAGTAAGTCTATACCAACTTTGGTCTTATTCGAACAATTAGTTCACAAGATAATAAGAAAAATTCAAAATTAATTAAATATGCAAATGAGCTTGTTAATTAGATTGAAACTCAATATTGCAAGATAAATCAAGTCTCTACCAAGTTTGGTCTGATATGGACTATTAGTTCACAAGATATTAACAAGAATTCAAATAAATAATTAAATATGCAAATGAGCTCATTACAATTAAAAAATAAATCAATGTGCATCTGTACCAGTGGACACTGTCTTTGTACTAAGTCTCTGCAAATCGGTCCATGCATCTCTGAGAAATGATGGACCCACCCAAAAAAATGGATTTTACAGGATTTTGACATGCAAAATGGCCACCAGGCAGCCATATTTGATCAAATCAGGCCATACTTCCTTACTTCATATTGCATGCTTCTTACAACATGTTGCATGCACCTTACTTCATGTTGCATGCGCCTTACATCATGTTGCATGCGCCTTAATTCATGTTGCATGCGCCTTAATTCATGTTACATGTGCCTTACTTTATGTTGCTCATGTGACAGATTTCATGTTGCATGCGCATTACATCATGTTGCATGCACCTTACTTCATGTTGCATATGCCTTATTTCATGTTGTATGCACCCTACATCATATTGCATGCGCCTTACATCATGTTGCATGCGCCTTACTTCATGTTGCATATGCCTTATTTCATGTTATATGCACCCTATATCATATTGCATGCGCCTTACTTCAACTTGCATGCGCCTTACTTCATGTTGCATGCGCCTTACTTCATGTTGCATGTGCCTTACTTCATGTTGCATGTGCCTTACTTCATGTTGCATGCGCCTTACTTCATGTTGCATGCGTCTTACTTCATGTTGCATGCGCCTTACTTCATGTTGCATGCGCCTTACTTCATGTTGCATGCGCCTTACTTCATGTTGATTGCGCCTTACTTTATGTTGCTTGCGCCTTACTTCATGTTGCTTGCGCCTTACTTCATGTTGCATGCGCCCTACCTAATGTTACATGTGCCTTACTTTATGTTGCATGTGTGACTTATTTCATGTTGCATGTGCCTTACATCATGTTACATGTGCCTTACTTCATGTTACATATGCCTTACATCATGTTGCATGCGCCTTACATCATGTTGCATGTGCCTTACATCATGTTGCATGCGCCCTACTTCATGTTACATGTGCCTTACTTTATGTTGCATGTGCGACTTATTTCATGTTGCATGCGCCTTACATCATTTACATCATGTTGCATGTGCCTTATATCATGTTGCATGTGCCTTACATCATGTTGCATGTGCCTTACATCATGTTGCATGTGCCTTACATCATGTTGCATGTGCCTTACATCATGTTGCATGCGCCTTACATCATGTTGCATGCACCTTACATCATGCTGCATGCATCTTACTTTAGGTTCCATGCACATACCTCATGTTGCATGTCTTACATCATAGTACATTATGTCTTACATCATATTGCATGCATCATACTTCATGTTGCTTACGCCTTACTTCATGTTGCAACATGTGAAACAGAGCTTTTTTTACCTGACTCTTCATCACTGAAATGATCAGTTGGATTTCCTAGTGTGTCTGGATTCAGTAATTTCAACTGATAACTGACTTTTACTGGTTGTACAATTGGCAAACCATCATCTTTGCATGTATACTCATCACCATACACTATATGCCAAACTTTTGGATGAATAAAATGGGCAAGGGTCACATTTCCTGAAATACCATCCAAATCATCTGCAAAACAAGTAAATAAATATATTCATTCAAGTGTACAAGCATGTGTTTTTTAGACACTATTGGTATTTTTACAGAGAACAAGTAAAATACATTTATTTATAAATTATAACTTCATACCTTAATGTTGTTTGTCATTCAGATGAATTTGGTTTAGTGATTATGTGATTCATCAATTTAAAAAAATATACAACACTAATCACCAAGTTATACAAACAGGTGTGTGCAGTTACAGTGAAGAAGTCACCAATAGCCAAAGTAAAATCAATGAATTTTAAAAGATGCATTTTTCAAAAAGAAATCTAAGAATGTTGAGGAAAAATACAAAAAATATTAGATAAAATTTACTAAAATTGTTACAAATATATGCCAGATGTACCACCACCTCAATAGATCAGGTGACCTATGATACAATAACCTATAAACATAACTTTGTTATCATGGATGAGTTAATACATCACTGGGTATTACAACACATTATACATTAACCAAATTGTTATATTTATATCTATAATGGCACATATAAGTACTAGGTACATGTACACTGAATGTATTCACGTTATGGGTTAATCATTTGTACAACAAAGTATCAACTTTATTGTGAAATCAGTGGATCAATTGTACACACAATACTGCAGTCCTATTCCTAGTCAAACTTTCGTCACCTTCAACGATAAAATCTTCTTTTCTATTCCTAAATTTTGTTTAAACTCATTTGGAAATTCTGTCCAAAGAAAATTGTACTTGCCTTACATGCTAAAGAATATGATGGTAATAACTAAAACACGCATGTGACAAACAATCTTTGAAAACACTATGCAAGTTTAACATTCAACCACCATGCAAGTTTAACATGCAAGTGTTAATTATCTATGTTGATAGTGTCTCATTAATCTAAAAACTACTACTGGGATATTTGAATTGTGAGATGTATGACAATCTATGCAGTGTTATCAGTGATTGAAGTGGATTGCCCCTTGTACTTACATGTATGGTTAATGATTAATAGACATTCAGCATTGAGACATACAGACACACGCATCGTCAATCAAGCTGTGCAACACGCAACAAGTTGAGCAGTGAATTTTACAGTGAACCAGGTTAGTAAAATACAGCTAGTACAATGTATACATAACAAGATTGTTGTGACATGGCTAAATCATTATTGCTCTAGTCTAAAATTTTGTTTGTTCTTCTGATTGTGTATTCCCTATATTCTCTCCACTGTTCTCCATATTGGATTGAACCATTCGTCACTACATCCAGGACAGTATAGTGGATATTGACAGTTTTGACTTAGTTTTATACATCTGAAAACACAGCAACAATTATATTTTAATAGATTTATTTTCTTCAAAATTGTTTCAAAAATTGTGTGAACTATTAATTGAGCCACAGACAATAGTATAAGTTTCCCTAATGCGTCACTTATGATAATAGCAAGATGTCGGATTCAACACACCAAGTTATAACAGGGCTTTTACAGGAAGCTGAAGGTAAATCTTGGTACATACTCTGAATATTTAACACATATGTTCATATGTCTTCTTGTTGATTGGTGAAATCATTCTATGGATAATTTCTTGATGTTTCCATGTTTATTACTTTATTATGTTTGTTTACATGTTTATGTCTTCATTATATTAATATCTATTTTACAGATTACTGATCCACATCTAATCAAATCACTATGGAAACAGAATTACCCACCAATAGTACCTTAACAACACAACATCCTGATGATTCGTACGTGGAAGAGGCAACTCTGGCAGCAGTTATTGTGCTGGCAGCGATCCTATTGGTCATTATATGTTGTTATTATTTCACGTCACCTTGCTTGGTAGCAGGCAGTATAAAGCGTTTATTTGTAAAACCAAAGAAGTCAGATGAAGAAATGCTGGACAAAGATGCTTTGAAAAAACAAGATGATAAAGAACAAAAAAAAGACACTAAAACAAAGAAATAAGTAACATGTAATTAACTTTTTATAAAAAAAAAATAACATGGGATAAACATGAGGACAATCAAGGGATATAACTAAGCTCCATAGTGGACAACTAATAATGCACAATTACCAAGTTCATCGATGTGTGTACAATCTGATTATTTGTTAAAAGACAATAGAGTGTAGTGCATATTGTTATGATTCATAGTGAAAATACCATACATTTGATGGACAACAACCTCACATTGGATTGACATTTAGAGGTGACCAAGTTGAGCGGTCAAATTGCATGCCCAAAGTGCAAGGCCAAATGGAGCGGTCAAAGTGAAGTGAACAGCCAAATGGAGCGGTCAAATTAAGTTGAATGTTTACAGCACAAGTGAAAAAAAAAAAGAGATGTGACTTAATTTGTATTATTAGTATTGTATTTTTTGCTTGGTTACTACATCATAGACAGTGTACATATTAAACAATCTGAACAATGAAAATAGTTACCATAGTTTTTATGATAAATCATTCTAAAATATTTACCAAAAGAATTGTAAGCTATATCACTTTGTTTTGAAGTGATGTAATGCATATAACACTCAAATACCAAACATACTTTATCATTTACTTTTTCGAGTGATGGAAATACAAGCATTTTGCAATGCACAGACTATGTTGTGTATTTAATGTTAAAGACCATAAGCATATAGAATTCTGTTGTTCATTATAAAATGAGCAATATATATAACAATATACAGAACAATTGTCAGTGTTTTTACTATATATATAAATTTCTACAGTGCATATAGCACATTGCTGATGTGGAAGAATTTTTATTGTATGTAATGAAAAAAATCAGTAAATGGTACACGTCATTTACT